GGTACTGGGGATCAAACTCGGGATCTTGTGCTTGCGAGGCAGGCAGTGGAACCACTGAGCTAAATCCCCTGCCCAGGACCCAGAAAACTTAAATTATGCAGAGCAGCATTTGGGTGATAACTAACAGAGCCTCAGTTGGAATCTTAGTATTTCATAAATTTTTTGTTGAGATGAAGATTATTATTTTGTGTAGTTTATAGAATTTCAAATGGAGAAAAATAAAGAACTAAGTTTACTTACTATACCTTCAGCAATATTAATATTCAAAAAAGTGTATTACCTGAATTTCTTGTTAAATTGCTTAAAGATATGTTGAAAGTTGAATTGTCAATGGACTGAAAATGACTGTAAAGATCTTCAGATATAGGTAAAGTAAATTTTGAATGGCATTCAGCAGTGTAGGGTACTGTTTTGATACTGTAGCACTTCAGGATTTTCGGGTAGTTACACATGGTGATATTCTCATTTTCTGGTAAGTAAGAAGGAATTAAGATATATATTATGGAGAGTCAGAACAGTTAACATTTATAATAATTTCTTTTAGAACTTTTCACTTTTTTTTTTTGGTGATACTAAGGATTGAACCCAGGGCCACATATGCTGGGTAAGTGCTCCACTACTGAGCTGTCCCTCAGATCTTTTTAAATTTTTACTTTGAGACAGAGTAATGCTAAGTTACCCAGCATGGCCTTGCACTGAGTATCTGGAACACTCAGCATGCACCTTCATGCTAGGCTAGGAAACTTTCCCCCATCAGTACTGGAAATTGAACCTAGGTCCTTTACACTGAGCGACGTTTCCATAGACCTTAAATTTTTTTTTCTTTTTAAATTTTGAGACAGGTTCTAGCTAAGTTACTAAATTGCTCACTCTGGGCTTGAACTTGCAGTTCTCTTGCCTCAGCCTCTTGGTATATTTGCACAGCAACACACTGAGGGAATGCACATTCCAGTTGTTATTTCATAAATAATCATAAATACAGTATCTGCTTACTGTTTAGTTTGTTTCAGTGGAGGTTTTATGATTAAGATTTTAATTGATTGCAGTTAGGATATGAAGCAGACTATTGTTTTCAGCTAACAAAGTAAGGCACCTGGTTTTATTTACTCCATGACAAGATGTCCTAATAATATGTGTATATAAAAATATATGAAAGATATCTTATATATTTACATATTGACTCTATTATAATAATATTACATATATATATAAATTACCTGTTTTTTCTGGGGGTGGTAAGGGGAGCATTGGTTCAACAAATAGTTTTTAGTGTTTCTTTCTGGTTTTTTATTTTTATTTTTTAAAAACAGGAACATTTTCCTTTTCATTTTAAAAATTTTTTGTGGGTCTGGAGATCAAACCCAAGGGATCATGCATACTGGGCAAACACTCTACCATCAGGCTGCTACAGCCCAAACCCCCAGGTTTCCTTTTTTGGTACCGGAGATTGAACTCAGGACTTTGTGCTTGTGAGGCAGGCAGTAGAACCACTGAACTAAATCCCCGGCCCTCAAGTTTCCATTTTACAAAAAATGAAATGAAATGTTTTTCTGGAGCAGAACAGCAAAAGTTAATCATATTTTGTTTTGATGAATTTAAATTATGATAGCTTACCTAGTATCACATTTGATGTGTTCAACCAGTTTTGCAAATTGAATAGGCTACAAGAGCAGTTCCACGGATTTCCATATAAAATTATTTTTTCCAGATGAAATAGTTGTGGTTCTTCAAAGTAGTGTAATAAATTTCCTTGCAGATTCAGAAATTTCAGGTTGTTTAGAGGCACAAACATGTTAGGATCTAGTTGTGATATTTTGTTTTGGCAGAGATGCAACTGTTTCAGTTTATTTAAGCCTACAAATGCATTCTGTTGAATTACATTAATAGAGTTTCTACAAATATTTAAGATTTCTAGATTGGAGAGGTTACTGAAACTATTACCATGTAATATAATGATGTTGTTCTTAGTCAGATAGAGTTCAGTGAGTAAAAAATACATCTGTAGCACCCTTGTGTCTGTAATAGTCAGAGTAATTTGGTTATAACTGAGATCAAGGATAGTAACATTGCCATTGATATCCTCTGGAATTAAAGAATAATTCTTTTCTGTGAAATTACATTTGACTTCCTAAAAAAGAAGAAGAAAAAGAAAAGAAATGCATTCACCAGGAAAAATATGAATTTCTCAAAATTTCATAACCAAACACTTGGATATTGGAAGTCAATAATTCTGTAAAAATCTGTCTAATCTTTTGATGTTATCTGTGCAAAAGGTGGAGCAGATATTTTTCTGTATTGGGATGAAATAAGAATAAAGAAATTCTGATATGATCAGGCAAGGCAGTTCTAGTTGTTGTCAAGGTGTCTCCCAACCATTATAATGATAACAGAAAGGATATTGATACATTCCTATTTATATATAGAAATACAAATATCAAGTTAAATATAAATTCTGTTAACTTATTTAATATTCTAGCATGCAAAGCATTGTGGGAAAAATTATTTTAAAATGTGCGTATTTTAATGCCTTGTGCTGTTAATTAAAAAATAATACTCAGTTCAAGTTCTCTTAGCAGCTCAAAATTTAGTGTTTTTGTTTTGTTTTGTTTGTAGTACTAGGGAAAGAGCCCAGGTTCATTTTCATTTACTTTTTATTTTGAGACTGGGTCTTGCTAAGTCACTAAATTGCTGGACTCAAACTTGCAGTCTTTTCTTGATTCAGCCTCCAAGAGTGTCCCAGAGATAAGAGCCACCAATACACTGCTCAATTTGGTATTTTAGATAACTTTTATTTTTTGAGAGTGTCTTATGGCTTCAAACTCAAAATGATCCTCCAGTCTCAGTACTCACCAGTGCTAGGATTACATGCCTGGCATCATTCTGATTTACTTTTTATTTTTATTTTTTTGAGGTAGGCTTTTTCTGTGTAGTTCAGGGTGGCCTTGAACTCACTGTGTAGCTCAGGCCTCAAAGTTGTGGCGATCCACCTGTCTCAGCCTCCTGAGAGCTAGGATCACAAGGTACTGTAGCACTGAGTTACATCCCCAGCCTTTTTTTATTTTTTCTTTAGTAATTGAGTTTTACCAATTGCTCCAGCTGGTCTGGAACTTGGCGTCTTTCTGCCTCAGCTTCTCCAGTAGCTGTCACACTGCACTTTTTCTTTTGTTTTATTTTTGAGACAGGATCTCGCTATGTAGCTCAGGCTGTCCTTGACCTCACTGTGTAGTCCAGGCTTGCCTCAAACTCATGGCGATCCTTCAGCCGCAGCCTCCCGAGTGCTGGGATCGCAGGCATGCACCTCCTCACTCAGCTCACAGTGTGCTTCTTTTAATCAACTCATAAAAAAACAAAGACTGCCTTTGTCAAATTAGGATTTGGCTCAGAGATCTAGTCAGTTTTACTAATTTGTATTTTCTTTCTTTGTTTCGTTTTTTGCATTTGATATTTAAATACAGTAGATGTACAGAATGTGTACGTTTGAAAACATTTTCATTGCCTTCACTGTAAAAACTTACAGTTTTTGAAGTCTGGCTTTTGTCTGATAATAGCATGGAGAAGGGCCAAAGCAAGATCGCGATGCTTGTGATTTTCATATCGCAGGCCTGACAGGAAAGAGAGTATTTTCATCTCAGAGGAAGACTAAAACTTTAGAGATTATTGAAGATGAATTGATTTCCATTTTCCCTTTAAAATCTAGTTTTTCTTAAAATGTGAAACAGTACAGTATAATGCCTTTCACTATCACTGTACTCTAATCTTAGCAAAGTAGAAAAATGCTGTGGAGAACCATTCAGTATTTTCTATGGTGTTTCATTAATTCCAGATATGTTGAAAGGAGCTTTAAAGCAAACTGATTGTACATTTAAACGTTTTAATATATTTATATATGCATATGATTTTAGGTGTTATTGCTATTACCCATTGACTTACATTTTTCAATTTTAGGTGTTATTGCTATCAATTGACAGTGGTAGGAAATGAGTATCTTTAGCTTTTCTCTCAACATTCGTTTTTTTTTTTTTTCTCTCATTGAGTTTATTGGTACATTTTAGGTATACAGTACAGTTACATTCATCATTGGGATCTTGTACCTTTACATGACAGGTCTTGTTTCTCATTTTTTCCCCTTGTCCCTGCCCTCCCATCACCCCCTTCTCCCCTCCCCATTTACAACTATTTTATTTCCATTTTTTCATTTTCTCCTATTTTTTTCCTTTCCCTTATTACCTTTCCCCTACCCTTCCCACTTTCCCTACACTTTTAGCTCTTTTCTTCCTATTTCACATGGTCAATGTACTCATTGGGATCTTATGTACTATTATAGGTTATTCATACCAGAGAAACTATTAGGTATTTACACGTGTGTGACTTATTTATTTCACCTAGGAGTATATCCTAAATATGTATCCATTTTCCTACGAATGAACCTAATTTCTCATTCTTTATGGCTGAGTAGTACTCCATTTATTGAAAAATCACATCTTCTTTATCCAGTTTCCAACTGATGGGTAAATGGGCTGTTTCCAAGTTTTACCTTATTACAAACTGTGATGCTATAAACATAAGTGCGTATATATCATTGTGATATGATTCTTTTAATTCTTTTGTGAAGATAACCAGCAGAGAGATGGCTGGGTCAAATGGAACCTCTAGACCTAGCTCTCTGAGGTATCTCCATATTAATTTCCATAGTGGTTGCACCAGTCTGCACTCCCACCAACAATGGAGAAGGGTGCCTTTCTCCCCACAACCCCACCAACATTTGCTATTGTGTGATTTCTTGATAGCAGCCATTCTTTGTGGGGTGAGGTGGAATCTCTGTGTTGTTTTCACCTGCATCTCTCGAATGACCAGTGATGTTGAACATTTTTTCATATATTTACTTGCTGCTTTTACTTCGTTTGAGAAATGTCTGTTCATTTCAGATGCCCATTTTTGAATCGGGTCTTTATATTTCGGGGAACTGATTGTTTTGAGTTCTTTGTATATTCTAGATAATAGTCCTTTGTCTGAGGAGTAGCTGGCAAAAATTTTTTCCCACATTGTAGGTTGTCTTTTAGTTCTGTTTATGGTTTCTTTTGCAGTGCAGAAACTTTTTAATAAGATGAGATCCCAGTTGTTGATTCTTTGTGCTAGTTCCCATGCTACTGAGGATTTGTTCATAAAGTCTTTTCCTATGCCAATGTCTTCCAGAGTTCTGCCTAACTTACCTTCCAGCAAGTTTAGTGTTTCTGTTTTAATATTTAGATCTTTCATCCATTTGGATTTTAATTTAGTACATGGTGAATGATAAGGGTCCAGTTTTAATCTTCGTCATGTTGAGATCCAGTTTTTCCAACACCATTTATTAAAGAGGCTATCTTTCCTCCACTGAGGATGGTCAGCTCCTTTGTCAAAGATGAGGTAGCTGAGTACATCTGGAGTTGTTTTTGTGTCTTCCAGTCTGTTCCACGGATCCTCAGGCCTGTTTCTTTGCCAGTACTATGCTGTTTTTATCACAGTGGCTTTGTAGTATAGTTTCAAATTGGGAATTGTTATACCCGGTGCCATGTGTCTGTGGCCTAAAATGGCTTTTGCTATTCTAGGTCTCTTATGGCTCCAAATGAATTTTTGGATTATTTTTTCTAGTTCTGTGAAATATAGTGTTGGAATTTCAGTTGGCATTGCATTGAATCTGTATAGCAGTTTTGGTAGTATGACCATTTTCACTATGTTGATTCTTCCTACCCAGGAGCAGGTGATATCTTTCCATTTTCTTATATCCTCTTCGATCTCTTTTTTCAGAGTGCTGTAGTTTTCAGTGTAGAGGTCTTTTGCTTCTTTTGTTAGATTGATTCCCAGATAATTCATTTTTTTGAATGCTATTGTGAAAGGAATCGTTTCCCTAATTTCTCTCTCAGTGAGTCTCATATTTGTGTACAAGAAGGCTATTGATTTTTGGGTCAACACTCATAATTTAATTTCTAAAAATTGGACATTCATTTCTTAACATAGTTATCTGTAATTTTGGTTATGGTGGACATTCAATGTTTATATTTTAAAAAATATATTTAAACCATCACTGACAGAGCCATGTAACAGAATTAATTTTTCTATTGCTATGCATTTTTTTCTAAATTAATTGGGCCTTTTCATATGCTTCTTAATTTTATTTTTCATGAATTTATGGCTATTCTTTCCTATAGCAAAATACTTGGTAGTTAATGCATAGTAAGTACTTAATCTGCTTCACCTGATTAGAAAGTGTCTGTTCTAGAGTCTGCTACTATTGTCTAATTTAGGGAAGCCAACCAATAGGCCTCCTTTCTACACAGTTGTTGACTTCTATTTTCATTATAGATACTCTTTTTTTCTTTTGTTCCTAGGTTTCTGTTTCTTAGAATCCTCTTTTGATTTTTGTCATCCTTCAGTGGAGTGGGTAGGACATACATTTTCAAAATGTTGATGGTATTGCTCCATTGTTCTTTTCATTGCTATATTATTCTCATTCTTCTTTTTTAAATCTTACTGAGTTTATTGGTACTTTTTAAGTATACAGTACAGTTACATTCATCATTGGGATCTTGTACCTTTACACGACAGATCATGGTTCTCATTTTTTCCCACACCCTTACCCTCCCTTCACCCTCTCCACCCTCCACTATTTACAAAGATTTATTTCCATTTTTTCATTTTCTCATACTTTTTCTTGTCCCTTATTTCCTTTCCCATATCCTTCCCACTTCCCCTACACCTTTAGCCCTTGTCTTCCTATTTCATATTATCAGTTACACAATTTGGATCTTATTTACACTTTTAGTTTTTCACACCTCATTTTCATCCTTTATCCTTTAATGTAAAATGTATAATCAATATTCTGAAAAGTCTAAAATCAGTATTTTTGAAATTTCTTACTCCTTTGTGTTTGTGAGAATGTTTTCATCAGTTAAACTGGGTACTTTGTTGGCACTTTTAGTCTGGAAGTTGTGTTCCCTCAGTTGTGGGAATTTTTCTTTTGAAACTCATTTCTCTTTGTAGAACTGCCTTAAGTGGGTGTTAGATGGGAATGATTTTTTAAGTCTGTTTTTTTCTTAGATTTCTTCACTTTGTTCTGCTTTCTGAAAAACATCTTTATCTTCAAACTCCTCTAAAGATTTTTTATTATTGTCATTTTTAATGGTAAGACATCTCTTTTTTCTCTAAATATTTTCTCCATAGAACCCGCTTTCATGAACATATTATTTTCTTATTTTTGTGTGTGTTGTCTTCTTTTTTTCTTGAAATCCTGTCCTGATCTCTATCCCTCCCCTTATCCATAAATGTTATCATCTTTAGATCTTTTCTCTTGGGCTGTTGGAACCCACAAAATGACTCTTCTTATCTGCCTGAAGAGTTGAAGCCCAGTTGCCAGCTTTCTGAGGCCTAAGAGGTCCAAAGGTTTATAAACTTAATCTCAACAGTGCTCTGTACTCGCTTGGACCTGTTGCCTGGATTCTCTTAATATTTTTTTCTCTCCACAAGGAAAAAAGAAAATCCTCTAATCTATGTAGGTAAGGGATATTAACTGGCTGGGCACAGGCAGGGAGGAATGAACCCCTCTACCATTTCCAGAATACCTCATGCTGGAAATTTCTAGACAATTTGGAGTTCCTGCATTATAAAGCAAACTACTTTTCAGTTTTTTCCATTGCTGTCATGGGGAAATTTTGCTTTTCTAGTCACCATTCATTATTACCTTTCAGATTTCTACGTTCTAATGCTATTTCTTCCTCTCTCATTCTCTCTGTCCTTGTGAGTTTATGTTCCTTTTCACCTTTTGTTTTCATTTTAGTGGGATTTTAAGCAGGATTCATTATCAAGTGCATTCAACATGCACTTTTTTTTTGGTACCCAGAATAAACCCGGGTCTCTGAGCTAAAGCCCCAGCCTCCAACATCCAATTTTTAACTAGAGGTTTCCGCTTTTACTGAAGAACATTCTGAATATTTTCCTTTTAATGATTTTATTCATTACCTTGACATTGTTATTCTCTTTCTACCCCTGTTCTCTCAAAGTCCACATCAGAAACCTTTCTACAAATAAATTATCTGTTTCAGTGTATATGAATATATCCTGTCATCTTCAGGGGTCTTCTCAAATTTAGCCTATGAGCCTTCTTACAGCATTTGTTATAGTTAATTACTTAAGTTTTTTCCCCTAGGGAAAATTGCATCAGAGTAGGAAGAAGTAAGAAAACTAATCAGAGTGAGGAGATATTTTTCAGTTTACTAACATCCGTTGCATCATTAGCAATAGGAATTTATTATTATTTAGGTGTTGGTCTGTTCAATCACCTTCATCATTGCCTTCAATCTGCTGATTGGTTTAGCCTTATTTGCTTCCTAATTTCTCTTTCCATAGTTAAATGAAGTTTGTTAGGAAAAGATACTCTGCCTCCTAGATTTTCTTAATGCAACTTGGATATACATTATAGTAAAGTCCCCATTAGAGCCACAAATGAATTTAAACTATTCCAATTATTGTCCATAAAAGAGAGATGCCTAAAGCATTTACAAATGGCAGTTTAGCTGTGTTTAATGATCTCTAGGAACGGTGGTATAGCCTTTTCAATGGCTGTTTCTGTTACTTGTCTGTGGTGTGGTGACATTCTTACTGATTTCTTCTGATGGGATACAGAGGTGAGTGAGGAAAGGTTAGGGAGAAGTGTTATTTTATCTAAATAGAAAGAAATAGTTAAAGGAAGCAAATAGGCTATGGAGAAAATTAACTGGGTTTAAGAAAAGAATTGTAGAATAGAAACAGGTAAGGAAGAAAATGGAGATGAAGTAAGACTGAGCCTACTTGGAAACAGTCTTGTATTTATTATCTTTATCTATTTAGTAATAGTTCTTTTCTCCAGTATGCTAAAAGACATAAAATTATAAGGATTAGAACATGAGTCTTAGTTTTTTCTTTTCTCTTGATAAATTTTACAGGTAAAATCTCAGAATTCTGTATAAGAAAGCATCACAAAATCTAAAGCATTACAAGGTTTGATTCACATGGTCCATGGTCTTTTTTCACATATTTGTGTAACCTTTGACAGGAGAAAGTTTGAGAAAGTGAATATAGACCATTATGACTCTGAATTGATCCCCAGACAAAAGCACTTGCTGGCATTACTAATTATCTTAAAGAAATCATGATGGTAGAACAGTAAATAAGTACATTATGTGGAAATTGTCCATGAGTTAATTTACCCTTTCAAAAAGTTGATTTAAAAAGGAGATAATTGCTTTTTTTCTTTCTTTTAGATTTTTTTCTTAGCTTGCAATTTATTTTAAAATAATGTTTGAGTTTTAATGATTACTTAGGAACTAATACAAATAGAGAACATGTGAGAATATCTGTTTCTTTTAGTTATTTCATAAAATTGAGAAACCTTTTATATAGCCTGCCATGTTATTACAGATTTAAAATAAAAAACTATACCAAAACAAATGATAGACATTTGAAAAAAGAAGTAATGTTCTTAATGAAGTTTCAAGTACAACCTTATGTTATTTACTTTATAGGAGTATTATATGCAGTGAAGTGAAAAAGGTACAATTAGTTTGCTTTATTTTTTTATTTTTATTTTTATTTTTTTTTGGTACCAGGGATTAAACTCGGGTCTTTGCGCTTGCAAGGCAGGCCACCAAACCACTGAGCTAAATTCCCGTCCCTATTTTTTTATATAAATAAAATCAATATGTAATTTTTGTCATGAAGTATTTTAGATACTTATGCCAAAATTTAGTGTGTATGAAGTAAAATGTAAATGATTAAAAACTTCATCCCCATCCATAACTATTTCAGAGTTTTTTTAAATTTAAAAACTTACTGTAATGAAATGTTTCATGGAAAAAAAAGTTAAGGATAAGGGTCGGGGATTTAGCTCAGCAGTTCAGTGGCCTGCCTTGCAAGCGCAAGGACCAGAGTTTGATCCCCGGTACCAAAAAAAAAGAATAACAAAAAAAAGTTAAGGATAGTCATTACCACCAACTTCAAAGGTTTCTACTATGGTAGTGGTTCTTTTAATCTTGTTAATTTGTTTTTAGATAAAAAGCCACTTGAAAATAAAATGTTCTGTAATTAACGTATTTCATAATAAAAATGTTTCATAAATTTGATTTCCTAGATGAAATTTTTTGTTTCTGCCTAAAAGCCAGTTTCTTTATATTACATTATAACTTTATTTATGAAAGATTCTTTGGCCATATCCCAGATATATGTTATTTCTGACTTAGATCATGTTCTGTCCTTTTAAGGCAAAGATTATTGTATAGACTTAACAAATTTATTTTTTAAAATTCAGCAACAGCCACCAAATCTATGAATATATAGGAACTTACCTTTATTTTTTCTTTTTACCTGTGAGATTGGTGTCCTAAAGAAACTTATTCTGTTTCTTCAATACCCTAAGGAAAAAGAAGTATGTCATATGATGGTATTTCGCTTTGTTTTCACCTTTGTACCCAATGAACAAGTGATTAAGAAAAAAGCTGGACTTCCTTAGCAAAAGATTGACTAGAGGAATAATTTCTTAAAGTAATCTCTGACTTTTTTAGTGTAATTAGTAAGGTGTTTTGCTTAATTTCTGTGTTTTTAAATTATTTTTCAAAAATTTATCAAAGTATTAATTTTATTTTGTGATAATGTATATAGTATTGTGAATGCATACTTTTAAAAGATACATTATTTTAATGTGTGTTAATTCTAAAGGTATTTTGTATTTAGAAAGATTCAAATTGAAAAACTACCACTAAGTTTTGTATTCCACTGACTTAATTAACTGTGTTTTTTACTTTTTATGACACTTTCCTTGGTTATTTTATTGCCATGCTGTAATAGGAGCAAAGTGCTCAAAGCGTAGGAAGATAAGACAGTTTGTCATTATGTAGCGTTCAGAAAATCAGCTGCCTTCCTTATGCTGTAATTTCCCCCCTGTAGAATGGAGTTCTGTACCTTAGCTCCCATGTGACTACCGTAGACATGGTAGGAAGAAACACTGCTGGTGGCGAACATTCATAAACTTTAGAATAAATTAGTTCTAAGAGATTAACTCCCTTAGGCTTCAGTAGTTTTAATTCATAAAACAAGAGATTGAAATAGATGATTCTTTCTGCTTAAAAGTGAGCTCATATACCCATAGAAATTATAGCACCAACAAACACATTTGTTTTACTATAGTAGTTGAAATTCAAAGGAAAGATATCACTAGGGCTTGTCCAACAGTGAGACAAAAAAATGAACTGAAAAGTCTGGTTTCATTGTTTCCTTCTTGTGTTTGATTATTGTGAGATGTTGGGGTGGGGGTCTCTGAGTCTGGGTTACTTAGGGTATGGGTGGGATAGGAGTGTGTAGAAGGTGTGGGGATATATACAGTTATTGGGCTTAGGTGGCGATTGTGAAAACTGTAAAAGTTGGTGTCTGTGGGGGAACTAGAATACATAGCAAAAGAATAATCAAATTTCAAAACCCAATCAGAAATCTATGATCTTGGAACTGGAAATTTATGTTAAATCAAGCTTTTTGTATGTAAATCTTGTGTATTTGTATAGTAGATGACATCTTACCTATTTTTTTCAGATATTGTCAAATTCTCTGTATCCTATTAATGATTGACTGCATAGAAAAATACCTCACTAATATTTCCTGTGATTGTATGATAAAGATGATTATTCTTATTAACTTTATTCTTAGTACTTAGTTACTATATTATTTTGCAGTGCTAAAATATAGCCATGATTAGTCAAATGCCTCTTTTATGTTTTTTAAAATTAATTTGATTGGTACAATTTAGCTATAGATAATGATCACATTAATCATAGGGAATTTGTACCTGTACACGATATATCTTGATTCTTTTTTCTTTCCCCATTCCCCTCCCCTCCATTCAACCCTCCTTTTCCTCCTTATTTACAAAAGCTTTGTTTCTATTTTTTTCTTCTTTTTTCATTTTTTATTTTCTCTTCTTTCTTTTCCTCTTCCTCCCTCCCTAGTACCCTTTCCTTTTGAACAATTTCTTCCTGTTTCACAATACCTGTTATACATTTAGGTCCTTACCCTTTTGGTTTTTCACACTAGAGAGATAATCCCATATTTACACGTGTCTGATTCATTTTACTTAAGAGTGTAATCTCAAGGTACATCCATTTAGCTAGAAATCTCTCAAGTTTATCCTTCTGCATGGCTGAGTAGGCATTGTGTAAAACAGCTTTTTTATCCATTCACAAATGCTCCTTTAATTAATGCAGTAAATAAAAGGAAATTTAAGCAAAGCATATTGTTAGTCTTAAGCTGTAAATACTTTTTTTAACAAATCAAATTGCACTATAGGTCTCTCCAATTGCCAGCTCAGTCAGAGCTGCGTTGCTTTCTATGATTTGTATGGCAAATTTCTATATCAGATTTCATTTGGTCAAAGGACTCTGTGGCTAAAGGTTGTTCAAAAACCACTATTCTAAAACTTAACTATCTTGCGTTTATCTTTTGAGGATATCATCATGACAAAAAGTATAATTGCATCATCATCTGTACGAGGTTTTATGGATTTTCTGTGATAATTTTTGTGTGTTTTTAATAAAATGGAGAGTAAAGAAATACAATTTGGAGATGGAAAAAAGAAAGACGAGCTGGGCGTGGTGGCTTATTCCTTTAATCCCAGCACTTGGGAGCCTGAGACAGGAGGATCGCTGTGAGTTCGAGACCAGCCTGGGCTACATAGTGAGTTCCAGGTCAGTCTCAACCACATACTGAGACCCTGCCTCAAAAAAAAAAAAAAGACAAAATAAGTATGTGTTGATGAGGCCAAATTTTGTAGTTTAAATAATGTATTTTGTTTTCTACAAACATAAAGACTACTGTCACACATTATGGTTGAATATCTTTCATTACCCCATTTTAAATGATAAAGACTGAGCCCTGACTCTTTTCTTCAATAGCATAATAATAGAAATATTGCATACTTTTGATTTCAGGAAAGAAAAACAAATTATAAGTGCAGAAGAAGAAATTGAACAAGAAAAACAAGCAGCAGATGGCATTATCAGAAATATGTCTCCCGAGAAACAAGTCAAGTACATAGAGATGAAAAGCACGAATGAGAAATTGTTACAGGTAATACTATATTAATTATTAATAAGTGCTAGGCATATGGCAATCTTGGAACTAAAAGTATGGTCTAAAAGTAAGGTCAGCAGCATCAGCTTTTGGTGAAAACTTGACTAGACCTACCATACAGAGTCTTCAGTTTAACACAGTTCTCAGCTAATTCATATGAGTATTTAAATTTCATAAGCTGTAATCCCAGCACTTTGGAGACTGAGACAGGAGGATTGCCTTGAGTTCCAGGCTAGCCTGTACTACATAGTGAATTCAAGGCCAGCCTGAACTGCATTGCAAGACCTTGTCTCAAAAAAACAAAACAAAACAAAAAAAACAAAAATTTTTTTTTCAGAAGCCCTTGTCTAGTTAGCTTAATTTTCTTATGGTGTATGATGACCTAGCTTTTTCATAATTATTACTTGCTCAATTCTATGCATCCTTCATTTTTATGTATCATAAAGATGCATGAAAATACTTGTATTTTAAATTTTTTTTTTTTTTTTTTTTTTTGGTTTTTTGAGACAGGGTTTCACTATGTAGCTGAGCCTGACCTGGAACTCACTATGTAGCCCAGGCTCGTCTCGCAGTGTTAATTTGAAAGCTTCTGATATTTAATGCTTTCAGAATACTGTACTGATTTACTGTGAAAAGGTTAGGCTACTTTTGATAAGTTTAGAAAGTTTTCTCTACATATATGGCACAAGGTTTTTAGGAATAAAGAAAAATGAAATAATGAAAAAATAATGAAATGTTAATAAATTCTAGTCAGTGTGCAAAATACGGATTGAAGATGTTTACAAAATATACTTTGTACTGTCTACAGTATTCAAAATGTTGAGAAATGGGGAAGCAAATTATTGTTGCTGTAATTAATATTTATATTTGTCTTTTTATTCCTTTTTAGGAATTAGATACACTTCAACAAGAATTAGATTCACTGAACATGAAGAAAGAGAGCCTGCAAGCTGTAAGTATAAGTCAAATAAAGGTTCTCATAGCACAGTTATAAAAAATAATTCAGCTGACTATTAATGGAATCCACCCACTTAATACATATTTATTTAGCAGGTTAGTGCAGGGCTTCTGTACTATTTCTTCCTGTTCTGGACTATAGACATCTTAGTTTGGTAAGAAATTAGATTCATGTATTGAATACTTACTGTGTACAAAACAAACTTCTGCCTTAATGAAGCACGCCAGAGTCTAATGACAATTTAGAGACATATGCCCAGAGACCAAAATCACATAAGAAAAGGGATCAATCAGTTTAAAGATAAAAAAGATTGCATTTGTCTTGTAATTTATTTAAAGATATTTTCAAGTCACGTAAAAACCTCATGTAAATTAAGATGAAAGTACAAGTAAAAGTATCTTTTTCTTGTCTCAGACAGAGCTACTGTGACAGTTTTTGAACACTTACTATGTGTTTTTTTACAACCATCCTATAATCCTGTTTTGTTTGTTTGTTTGTTTTTTGGAACTGGGGATTGAATTTGGGACCTTGCACTTGTGAGGGAGGTGGCAGCATCACTGAACTAAACAGCTAGCCTGGGATTCATTTTTGAAACGCTGATATGCTATTTGCAGCCTTGTTTTTCACCTTAACATTATCTCTTGGTTTTGTTTTGTTTTTCAGTACTGGTGATTGAATCTAGGGCCTCACACATGATAGGCAACACTACCCTCGTGCTGCATACCCAGCCTGCCATCATCTGTTCAATGCCTTTATCATTTTAGAAATCCTATTATTAAGTCCTTGTTTTGTATTATGATATATGGTTATAACAGCAAGATAGATGAATAGATTGCCATTTTCTGTGATTATAAACTCTAGTGAGGACATGCATTTTATGCAATTATATATAAGATTAATTTCTTATACTGAATGAAAAGTCATACATTTCTTGCATTTCAATAATTTTATTGAACGTATATTTATCTCTTAGTACCAAACATAATGGTAGTTGGTTAGGTTACTTCTGCCAACTTTTATTTTTTATTTTTATTTTTATTTTTTGGTACCAGAGATCGACCTCAGGACCTTGTGCTTTTGAGGCAGGCAGCGGAATGCCAACTCTATTTTAATAACTGATGCTTTCAAAATATTGAAATACATCAGCCATATGGTAAAACTGAAGTTATCTACAAAACATGGTTCACAAAAAGTTAAAAGTGGAATATCCTGTGGTTCTTTGGTTTATTTTTCAGTGCCTTATTTATCGGTAGCATGATGTCAAAATTGATTACATCCCTTTTGGATAGACTCAGGCTTCAGGCTACACTTAACTGTTTACAACACTAACAGCATAGGTACATTTCCTGACATTCATTAGCTCACATGGAGAATTCCAAAATCTACCTCAGCAATCTCATAATTATAGCAGTGAAAAAGGAATACACTTCTAAAATATTGTAAGATTGCCAAATTGCCTCCAAAACCACATTATTTGAACTTCCACTCAGACATATAAAGATGTTTATTTTTCCCTATTCTCATTGGCAGGAATGATTATCCCACATTTCTCTTTTTTACCACTCTAATAGGTAAAACGTACCATCTGGTCTTTTGTTCTATTTTGTTTTGAAATGGTCTCAGCCATGTTACTTAGGCTGGTTTCAAACTCTCAGGTTTAGGTAATGAGACCCTCCTCAGCTTCCTGAGGAGCTGGCACTGCAGGAGAATGCCACCTGTGCCCGGGTGCTACCGTGTTTTAATTTGCATTTATTATGCATGAAGTCGAGTGTCTGCTTATGTATTTGTTAGCAGTAAAATTTCTTTTTTGGTGAACTGCCTTTCCATATTCTTGCATTTCAGTATATTTATGGCCTGTACCTCAATGTTCAGTTCAGTGTACTGTCTCGGCTGCCTTTCCTGATTTCCTGTGCTTTCAGTAGATAAAATGATAAGGCTAGTAATAGTTGTAGTGTGACAATTATAGTTTGTCATCTCATTTGTAAAAGAAATATAAGTCATTTATAATTCATTTTTGAAAATTTGCTATTAAAATTATTTAAAATATTTAATATTTTAAAATATTAAGGTAATTTTCTGTGGTTGTGTACTGTAGGTACACATAATTTATTTTGTACTTCTGTGATGATAGAAATATACTTTAAGGAAGAAGGAACACATTTAATGGTAATACAGCTAGCTTATAGAATTCCTATCTTTTTGAAATATATGGGAGTCATATTTAATTTGACCAATTTATTTACTGTAGGAAGAAGTATGAGCTATAACTTAGATTTAGTTATTGTACTAATGCCAGTCTTGTTATCAGTACATATATGTCTAAAATAATATGAGTTTTAAAAGATGTATACCATCTCAAATCAAGAAAACATGGGTTAGGGTATAGGTCACTATTTCTATTTAACTTTTACTAGATTCTTTCCTTCCTTCCTTTCCTCCCTCCTTCCCTCCCTCCCTTCTAGATTTGTTTTTCAAGCCAAAATGTTCCATAGCTGTCAGTCACCTATTAAATTTATTGAATATCTAGTGTTCACTGTTCTGTAGATATCATCATTGTTCTCACAGGTGTGAAAAGATCTGGTCAAGGATGAATGTAAATTTTGTGTTTGGAAAACTGCTGGGTGTGGTGGCACATGCCTATAATCCCAGCACTTGGGAGGCAGAGGCAGGAGGATCTCTGTGAGTTTGGGACCAGCCTGGGCTACATAGTGAGTTCCAGGTCAGTGTCAACTACATAGTGAGACCCTGTCTCAAAAAAAACAAACCAAACCCAACCAAACAAAACAACACACACAAACAAAAAAACCCAACCAGATTTATCAAATGTAATTTGAACAAAACAATAAAACAGTTAAATGAAAGGAAGAAGATACAATGAAGATAGCTCAAAATATGTGCATTTCTTCTGTAGATCTTGTTATCATTGCCTTTTTCTTCTCTGAGGTTAATTTATACTTTAGCCTGCATTTATAACTCACTGCTTGTGGACTTCCAAATATTTCCTTTGTCTCCTTTATAAAAGATTTCTTCTACTTCCAAAAATGAGGTTTTAAAGTCTTAGATGGGTGTGGTGGCACACTCCTGTAATCCTAGCACTCTGGGAGGCTAACACAGAAGATTGCAAATTCAAACTCAACCTGAGCAATTTAGTGACTTAATAAGACCCTGTGTCAAATTAAAAGATGAAAAAAGGCTGGGGATGTAACTCAGTGCAAAGGCCCTGGGTTCAGTCCCTGGTGTCTCAGAGGGGAAAGAGAGAGAGAGAGAGGGACAGGGACAGATTGAGTATATTTGATTTTGTTTATGCTATGGGATTGGTTTCCAGTATTATTTACTTGTATCTTTGTTAACTTGGAAAGTTATTTAGATCTCATGTCCCCACTTTTCTTGTCTATAATCACGAGATGACAGCTATTAATGCTGTAGCTATTAATGACTATTGCAGATAGCACATAGAACATTGTGTAGTGTCCAGCACAGAATAGGTGTTCCATAAGTTATAGATTCTCATGTCAACTTAATCATCACTGCCATCATACTTAGTGTGTTGCCCTAATAAAACTTCTCTCCCTGCCCCTCTCTCTTTCTCTTTCTTTCTTGATTTTTTGAGACAGGGCCTTCCTATATAGTTCAGGCTGATCTTGAATTCACCATGTAGCCCAGGCTGGCCTCAAACTCGCAGCAATCCTCCTGCCTGTGTCTCCCAAGTGCTAGGATTACAGATGTGCATCACCACACCTGGCCTCTCACCATTATTTCCTCTCTGTGAACAGTAGAGGAGACGCACATAAATATAGCTATTCTATTTGGATTTATCAGTTTCTTAGGACTGCCCTATCTGGGTGGCTTACAGCAACTAAAACTTATTTTCTCACAGTTCTGAGGACTAGAAGTCTAAAATCAGGGGCCAGCAGAGCTGTGTTTCTTCTGACTCTGGGTAGAATTCTTCTGGCTTCCGGAGGTGGCCATCATTTGTTGGCATCCCTGGACTTGCAGCTACATCCCTTTGTCTGTCCTGTGTTTTCACATGTGGTTTCACTGTGTCCCTCTTCTTCTCACAAGGACACCACTCATATTGGACTGTGGACTAATGACCTCATCTTACCTTTCTAAATCTGCACATACCCTAGTTAAAACTGTCCCTCTTTTGTCCTAGGAAATAACACATTCCCAGGTAAAACAGGAGGCTGTGTTGCTCCATGAAAAACTTTATGAATTGGAGGCCCATCGAGATCAAATGATTGCAGAAGACCAAAGTGTGGGATCCCCGATGGAAGAGAGGGAACGATTACTGAAACAGGTAGGAAGAATAAATGTGCTAATTGTAACTTTTGTTAAATGTGTTGATTTGTTTCTAAGGGATAGAATTAAGCAAAAATCTGACGAGTTTATTATATAAAAAAATAGCAAAAAGTGAGTTTCACCTAAATATGAAATATTTACTTTATCAAGAAACTCTACAAAAAAGTCACAATTGCATAAACTTTTTTGGGGTATAAACCCTCATTTTATATGGTCTTTGTGCATATTTAGCTATGATTTTGTGTTCTAGTTCCTTATTAGGAAAACTTGAAATTTTTTTGCTAATTAAATAAATAAGATAGGTCCAATTATTTGTTTTGGGTCTTATATTAGAATACAGAGAATTGCAAGTCTTTTTTTTTTTGCATTGCTAAGGATTGAGCCCAGGGCCTTTTCACTGAACTACATTACCAGTCCTTTTTAAGTCCTTATTTTGAGACAGGGTCTCTCTAAGTTGCTAAATGTTCTATCGTGTTTTGTGACTCTTGCAACCCTACCCTGGCTGGTGAGAGGGTCTCAGAAATATTAGGTGTTTCTGTCAACTAATGATCCAGATCTGAAAATGTGTTAACTTGATTATACGTTATGAATAGGTTTGGTATATCAGTTATTTCCTTTCTTTTGACGAGGACGAAAATGGATCTGTGAATAATTTCTTAGTGAAATTCTCTTTAACTTTAGATGTGGTGCTCTAAGAAATAGATTTTAAGCTTTAAGGAGGAGTGGATTTGCCATTTAATATAACATATTCTAGAAGGAAATTTCCCCTAAAGTAGTCTAGTAATTTGTGTTTTAGTTATTTTGGTTTTGTTTTTGTACTGGAACTTAATCCCAGGGTCTTTGCATTGAACTAAATCCCTAGACTTTTTAAAAAAATTTTTATTTTTGAGGTGGAATCTCACTCAGTAACTAAGTTGCTGAAGCTGGACTTGAAGTTCTGATACTCCTGCCTTGGCCTTCCAGAATGCTGGAATTACAGGAATGTACCACTATGCCTGGCTTAGTAATGAATTATTTTATAAAATATATATTTTGGTACTGGGGAATCAAACTTGGGACCTTGAGGCAGGTAGCAGTCCTACTGAGCTAAGTCCCCGGCCCAGTAATGAGTTATTTTTTGAATGCTGTTTTTTTGTTTTGTTTTTTTCTTGTACCTTTATAGGTTAAAGAAGATAATCAGGAAATAGCCAGCATGGAGAGACAGTAAGTACCTTTATACTAGGACATTTTACTTTCAGTTTTCATCTTCTAAATGACATTCTAAAGTTCTAAATATGCATATAGTTCAGATTCTTCCTCTGGCTCGTGTTGATAATATTAATGCAGCTTTTAATCTTACAGTTTAAAAAAATTTTTTGAGTGTTTAAGAGGCATGTCACGGCTTTTAAAAAGTTTTCTAAATATATAATTCAGGTCTGAATATACAGCTTCCTGGTAGAGGTGTTTGCCTAGCATGCTCAGGGACCTGGATTTGGTCCCTGGCACCAACAAAAAAGAAAAGAAAAGAAAGAAAAGGAAAAATGAAAAGGTAGAATTCCTATTATAATTTGCTGTTTTCCTGGTACCTTTAATGGAATGTAGGGCCTTCATACTGAGATACATCTATAGCCCTGTTTTAAATTTTAAATTTTGAGACAGGATCTGGCATAATAACAAGGTCCTGAGTTTGATCCTTGGAATAAAACAAACAAACAAAAATAACGTTGGGTTTATTATCATTATTATTATTTAGTTTAAAGGGTTCTTATATGTTCTAAATACAAGTCCCTTATCTGGTAAATGATTTATAAAATGTTTTCTTACAAGAGTATTATAGGTTAGTTCTTACATTTAAATCTTTGATTTGTTTTGGGTTAATATATGAGATAGGAGTTCACTTTTATTTTTTTGTTAGTGCTTCTTCATTTGTCCCATACCATTTGTTGAAAATTCTATTGTTTCCCTGTTTGTCTTGGCATCATAGTTCAAAAGAATTGACCATACATATATGGTCTTATTTTTGAATTCACAAGTCTATTCCACTGATATGTCTATCCATATTCCAGTATGATATTGTCATGATTACTGAGCTTTTTCAGTAAGTATAGGTGTTAAAAATTTTTTTAACCTGTGTAACCAACCAGTGATAGATTTCCCATCATTTTTGTTTTGAGGCTAATTTGCCCACTTACTTCATTTTTTGCAAACTTACAAAAGAAAATTTGCTACAGATTTGTCATTTTTCTTAGAATGTAAGTCAAGCTTAAAAGGATGTGGAAAAATCAGCTCTCAAAGTCAGGCAACCTTAATTTTCTCAGAATACATTTGTGCTTTCAAAATATAAATTGTGAAAAAACATCTAGAAAAGATTTTTCTCTCTAAATTGGTAATATTGTCCTCAGAATAGGGCATATTATTTATGCAACTTAGATGTTAGCATCATCGTTAAGTTTTTACTGAATGTCTGTTATCCTCATAAATTCATTAAAATTCCAACAGGTTAACAGATATAAAAGAAAAAATAAATCAGTTTAATGAAGAAATCAGACAACTAGACATGGATTTAGAGGATCATCAAGGTAATGTTTTTGGTGTATTTCTGCATTTTTATAATGGAGATTAATAGATATTTAGCAGCACTGATACAGTGTTGACTGCATCTCCATGACTATGTATTGCTGTGGATTGAACCCAGGTCCTTGCACATGCAAAGAAATTGCTCTACAACTGAGCCACATCCCCAGCCTGAAAAGCAGTTTAAAAAAAAATGACCTAAGATGTCTATAGATTCCTAAGTTATACTTCCATAGTATGATCAGCTGTTAACTAGAGTTTTTGTAGAGTTGGGAAAGGTGTGAATCAAGTTGCAAATACTGTATCACAAGAAACCCAGGAAGAATTCATTTCCCAGCCAGGCCCGGTTATGAGGTGTCAAGCACTGATGATCATCACATTCCCTAACTTCCTTAGCGGTGAAGAATCAATGCAGGGACTAAACAACTGGGGGAGCTTGGGGTCTGGATGAGTGGAAATTGTGTGGTGGGAGTTTGGGGTTACAGCATTGAATATGCATGAGGTAAGAGGTGGGGCTTTATAGTTTCCTAAGCATCTTCTCTATAACAAAGGAGAGAAATGTGGGTTCCCTGTGGCACATTAACTGTGGTTTAACTGCAGTCAGTTAATATGCTCTTAGATGATCAAACATTGACTATATATACTTATGAGTTAATTAGTGAAAGTCAGGATAATCTTGCCACTTCATGGCGTAAGTAATGCATACATATCTGTTACATGGTTCAGGAAACATAGCAGGAAGAAAGAATGATGTATTTAAATTTTAGTTCAATTTTAAAGGTAGTATATTCATTTTTTCTTGATTTTTTCAATATCATTAGTTACTATTGATTACTTCAAAATCTTTGCAAGAACCTTTTGAAGGCTCGGTAAGCCATTTTATATGTTTTTTTTTTCATTGAGTTTATTGATACTTCTTAAGTATACAGTACAGCTACATTCATCATTGGGATCTTGTACTTTTACATGACAGATCTTGGTTCTCATTTTTTCCCCATACCCCTGCCCTCCTTTCACCTCCTCTACTCTCCACTATTTACAAAGACTTTGTTTCCATTTTTTCTTTTTCTCGTATTTTTTCTTTTCCCTTATTTGCTTTCCCTTGCCCTTCCCACTTCTCCTACACCTTTAGCCCTTTTCTTGCAATTTTACATTATCAGTTATACAATTTGGATCTTATTTACACTTTTAGTTTTTCACACCAGAGAAACTATTTGGTATTTACACATGTGTGTCTTACTTATTTCACTTAAGAATATGGCCTCAATATGCATACATTTTCCTACGAATGTCTGTAGTTTCTCATTCTTTATGGCTGAGTAGTATTACATTTTATAGAAAAACCATGTCTTCTTTATCCAGTCTCCAACTGATGGGGAAAGGGCTGTTTCCAAGTTAAGCTATTACAAACTGTGCCACTATAAACATAGGTGCACATATATATCACTGTGGTATGATTCTTTTAATTCTTTTGGAAAGATACCCAGCAGAGGGATAGCTGGGTCAAATGGAAACTCTAGTCCCAGCTCTTTGAGGTTTCTCCATATTGATTTCCATAGTGGTTGCATCAGTCTGTGCTCCCCCCAACAATGGAGAAGGGTTCCTTTCTCCCACGACCCCACCAACATTTGTTATTGGTTGATTTCTTGATAGCAGCCATTCTTTCTGGGGTGAGGTGGAATCTTAGTGTTGTTTTCATCTTCATCCCTCCAATGACCAATGATGTGGAACATTTTTCATATATTTATTTGCTGCTTTTACTTCTTTGAGAAATGTCTATTCATTTCAGATGTCCACTTTTGAATCGGGTCTTTATATTTGGGGGGGGCTGATTTTTTTGAGTTCTTTGTATATTCTAGATAATAGTCCTTTGTCTGAGAAGAAGCTGGTAAAAATTTTTTCCCACATTGTAGGTTGTCTCTTAGCTCTGTTGGTGGTTTTTTTTGCAGTGCAGAAGCTTTGTAATAAGATGAGATCCCAGTTGTTGATTCTTTGTGCAAGTTCCCATGCTACTGAGGATTTGTTCATAAAGTCTTTTCCTATGCCAGTGTCTTCAAGAGTTCTGCCTAACTTGTCTTCCAGCAAGTTTAGTGTTTCTGTTTTAATATTTATATCTTTAAACCACTTGGATTTTAGTTTAGTGCATGGTAAAAGATAAGGATCTAATTTTAATCTTTGGCAGGTTGAAATCCAATTTTTCCAACACAGTTATTAAAGAGGCTATCTTTCCTCCAGTAAGGATGATTGGCTCTTTGTCCAGGATGAGGTAAGATGAGTATGCCTGGCATACATATCTTCTAATCTATCCCATTGACCCTCGGGTCTTTTTCTTTGCCAGTACCATGCTGTTTTTATCACAGTGGCTTTGTAGTATAGTTTCAAGTTGGGGATCATGATACTCTCTGTCATGTCTCTGTTGCTCTTTTGCTATTCTAGGTTTCTTCTGGTTCAAAGTGAATTTTTGGATTGTTTTCTCAAGTTCTGTGAAATATACTGTTGGAAATTCAATTGGGATTGCATTGAATCTAAATCAGTTGTGGAACTATGGCCATTTTCACTATATTGATTCTTCCTACCCAGGAGCAGGGGATATCTTTCCATTTTCTTATATACTCTTGGATCTCTTTTTTTCAGAGTGCTATAGTTTTCAGTGTAGAGGTCTTTTGTTTCTTTTGATAGATTAATTTCTAGATATTGCATTTTTTTTGGATGCTATTGTAAAAGGAATTGTTTTCCTAATTTCTCTCTCAGTGAGTCTTTTATTTGTGTACAAGAAGGTTACTGATTTTTGAGTGTTGACCTTGTATCCAGCTATTCTGCTGAAAGTGCCAATTAAGTCTAGAAGTCTTTTGGCAGAGTTTTTTCAGTCTTCTATATAGAGTATCATATCTTCAGCAAATAATGACAGTTTAAATTATTCCTTTCCTGTCTTTGTTGCTTTGATTTCTTTCTCCTGTCTAATTGCTGTGGCTGTTTCCAGAAGAGGAGTGGTGATAGTGGATATCCTTATCTTGTTCCTGATTTTAGAGTGAATGTTTTCAGTTTTTGGCCATTTACTATGATGTTGGCTGTTGGTTTTTCATAAGTATTTTTATGAAGTTGAGATAAAGGCCATCTATTCCAATTTTTCTGTAGGATTTTTAATCATGAATGGGTGTTGAATTTTGTCAAATCTATTTTGTGCATCTATTGAGATAATCATGTGGTTTTTTTGTCTTTGACTTACATATATTGAACCATCTTTGAATCCCTGGAATAAATCCAATATGGTCAGGGTGTATGATCTTCTTCATGACCCTCTGCATTCTGTTTGCTAGTATCTTATTGAGGATTTTTGCATCTATGTTATTAAGGAGATTGGCCTGTAGTTCTCATTTTTGGTTGGGTCTTTCCCCTGGTTTTCGAATCAAAGTAACACTTGCTTGCAGGAATAAATTTGGAAGTGTTGCTTCCCTATCATTTTATACATGTTGGAGCTCAAAGAAATGTGGTTTAGTCAAATTTCTCCAGCTAAAAACGAGTAAAGTCTAGATTTAAACCAAGATAATTTTGATTCCAAAGTTTTAATTTCATTGCTCAAGCTTAAATTGACTCAATTTTAAATTGACTTTCTGATATGAAGTTTTTCATTTTTGAAATGAAAATGTTCTTAGAATGCTTAAGTAGCTTACATTTGGTTCCTAATGGCTTTAAATAAAGTATCTAAGAGAGACAGACATTAAATAAATCTTAGTTACTAGGTAAATAATATTCCTTAAACTTTAGCTTTCTCATCTGAAAAATGAATTTAGTGGTTCTGTTAAATAGCAAATGTTGCATATGATAGGCTCAAAATAAGACCGAGGTCATGTTATTTAAAAAAAAAAACTTCATTTCTTTTTATTGACAAAACTTGTATATTATGTATACATTGTGGAATAGTTAAACCAAACTAATTAATATGTGTGTTTCTTTGTACTTAGTCTTTTTTTTTTTGGGGGGGGGACAACACTGAAAAATCCACTATTAGTGATCTCAAGAATATTTTATGTCATTAATTTATGGTCTCTATGTTGTACAATAGATCTCTTTACTCTATTCTTCCTATTTTACTAAAATTTTTGATTCTTTGACCATGTTATTTTCTTTACTAGCATAGCTGTTAGTATTCTAGACTCTATTAATATATTCAAAAATTTTAACAAAGCTGATAGTTCTTGATTTTAGATATTTTATATGATACATTATAAATAATTTTCTTCCTATGTCAAATTTATCACATTATGTTTCCACTAAAATAATTATTTGGAAGGTAACAATTTATTACTAATTGCTAATTAATTATTCTAAGATAAATAAAATGCTGAATGCTTTGGGTTTTAGCTGCCATTTTCCTTTTGCTTTTCTAGCTTTTGTCCTTTGTTATTAATGTATAAAAAGACAATTTATAATTCAGTCTAATAATGGCAAAAACTATTTGTATGTAAGTATAAATATATGTGATATATAAATATTGTGTATATGTATGATTATATATCAATGAATGAGTGTTTTGTTGTTGTGCTACACTGTGATCATTCTAGATTATTGGTTTTACAGCTCAAGGGGTTTTATTAGAAGGTTACTTGTTAGAAGGTTACTTGTTAGTTCAGGAACTCATTATTTCCTGCCTGAACTATTGCAGTAGCCTCCTAACTGGTCACCCCACCTCCAGTTTTTTCCCCCTCTCAGATTCTTCCTCCAGATTGCTGCCAGAGTGATTTATATAAAATGTGATTCTGTGTCATTCTGCTCAGTAGTGGTTTGCCATGATGCATGACATAAAGTTCAAGATTTTTGCAAGTTTTACTAGTCCTTCTGTAATATGGCTTATATATCATCAGCTCCCTACCCCTTATAATCGTCATTCTTATATTCTAATAATAACAACCTACGTGTATCTCATACCTCGCCCCTTGTCATACATCATACCATTTTGTGCTCCAATTCTTGTCTTCTGGTTTTTTGTTTTGTTTTTTTCTCTCTT